AACAATATAGGGAGCCTGTCACAGGTTGCCATTGTTCAAAAATACCCCAATGTAAATATAAAAACAACTTCAGCTCTGTAAAGCAGGCTAGACAGAATAGAGCGTTATACTTGTGTTTTGATATTAAATTAAATAAAAAAATCTACATTATCAATGCTGTAAAAAATTCTTTATGAAATTGAAATCAGTCACATCAATCTTTTGCCGGAAGATTTCAGTGGCTAAACAACTCTTCCGTGCATATAACCCATTCGTAAAACAAAAAAGTCAACATCAACTTTGCATGACTAAAATAGTTTTAAAACTGAACATTACCTGTTTAAAAGAAATACTTCAGCCATGGTCCTCCTACCTCCAGCATGCAAAAGTAACTCCAATATTGATTTAGGATTTTATAAAGTTTCAATTCAGCGGTTTTTTTTTTTTTTTTTTGTTTTTTTTTACTGTTGTCACTTTCTAGTGTGTAAATGGGGTATCTGCCTGAACAGGGGTGTACAGATGTACAAATCTACATTTGTTGACAGAAAGTTTGGGCTAGTTATCAGAATTATAGGAATTATCGGTCTGACAAATTTGAGTTGAATGAACATATTTCAGTTTCATGCCTTACCTGGAATATAAAAATACATATAAATACATTTAGGTCATTCACTTTAATCATTACTATTGAAATGTGAAGAGACTTTCGATCAGCACAACAAAAATTGTTTCAACAATCACCTACTGCACCTTTTAAACAAGTAGTTTTATCTTAGTTAATAGTTAAATTAACAATATTTATTTATTTATTTATTCATTTAAAATAAAATTATAAAACTTTTTAAAATAATTTTTTCAAGCCTTAATAATTAATGAACAACTAAAATAAATAATGTAATTCATTCATTCATTTTCTTTTTGGCTTAGTCCTTTTATCAATCTGGGGTTACCACACCGGAATGAACCACCAACTTATCCAGCATATTTTTTACGCAGCGGATGCCCTTCCAGCTGCACTGGGAAACACCCATACACACTCATTCACACACATACACTACGGACAATTTAGCCTACCCAACTCACCTGTACCGCATGTCTTTGGACTGTGGGGGAAACCGGAGCACCCGGAGGAAACCCACGCGAACACGAGGAGAATATGCAAACTCCACACAGAAACGGCAACTATAATATAATAGTGCAACTTTTAAAATGTAAAAAATGTGTTAAAGCAAAAGCTTAAGATTTATTATGTTACAATTATTATGTTACAATTAAACAAAACAAAGAAAAATTGAGGAAAATTTTGTCAGTCAAGTATTTTTGTTTTTCTGTAGTGGCTTATATAATGGAAATTGTGTAAAAAAGGTTTACAAAACTGCTTTGATCATAAGTCATGTTTAAAGTTTCTCCAATGAGAAACAATATAATGAAATGAGCTGCTGCACATGTTGTTTATGTGGTGCATTTACATTATTGTCAGCCCAACTGGGCTTTTATGCATTTTATGCTATTACGCTAATATTACGTTTAGTAAAACCAGCTCATCGTTAGTTGTGAAATATGACTGAGCAAGACCAACAATATGTTCATTTAATTTTTTTTTAAATCAGTAATTCATTAACAAATGTTAATTAAGGTACATAATTGAATATATGATGGGAAATATCAATAACTTTAGTGCTTCTAAAAACATAAATCTTTTACAAGTGTGTTTTTGACTTCCCAGGGGACCATTCCTGGTGGCATTGGGTCGTTCCTGGCATCCAGAGGAGTTCAACTGCCATTACTGCCACACATCTCTGGCTGATGTCAGTTTTGTGGAGGAGCAGAATAATGTTTACTGTGAGAACTGCTATGAAGAGTTCTTCGCACCTACCTGTGCCCGCTGCAGCACCAAGATCATGGGAGTACGTCAGAGACCTATAAACTTTACCTCACACACACACACACAAATGTAAACACATTTCACAGTTACTGATGATTGGATCTGCTCAACATCTGCTCAACAGGAAGTGATGCATGCACTGCGGCAGACCTGGCACACCACATGCTTTGTGTGTGCGGCCTGTGGAAAGCCTTTTGGAAACAGCCTCTTCCATATGGAGGATGGTGAGCCGTACTGTGAGAAAGGTATGGGAGCCTCTGGCTATATCTAACATAAAATTGTATATAAGGTTAGTTTAGGGCTAAATCATTTTAGAAAATGACCAAATGACCAATATTAAGATTGCAATTGTGATTTAAAATGCAGTACATCTTCTGTTTTATTCAACAGATGATATAGTATCATAGTATGATAAGCATAGTATTAACGTGATGTGTTATTAATAACCTTATTTCTAAAATTAATATTTTATTTTTGGCCACGCAACATAAAAACATCATAATTGTTCTGCTTCAGTTTTAGTTTTATCAGTTATTTACCTAAATTAATTTGTAATAAAACAGGTTTACAGTTTTTTTAGGTTAAGTTTAGCTATGGTTACACCTTCCGCCCACACTTCCTCTGAGTTTTGAGCACTGAAAACAAAGTGTTTTGGAAATGCTGAAGAGACCATTTACATTTTAAAATGCTGTGTCACTGTGGATGGGGGAAAACTAGGACATCTGAAAATCTGATTGGGGCTTTTCTTGCACCCTTTTCTTTAAGTTCAGACTTCGCAAGTTTGATATGGAAAACAAACTCCCGAGGACACATCGGGTAAATCTTCATAGGAAACAGTGTAGGCTATTACATCATTCACATCACCCTGGCTATGTTGTTTCACTATTTTAACAATAAAATGAAAACATGATATGAGGAACTGCCTATTTTCATTCTGATATTAACTTAAAAGACACCAAAAATGTTAAGGCATAGTGTAGCTACATATTTACATGACTGTCATCTAGAGATCTGCGCGGGACTAAATTTTGAATCCCGCTCCCGCCCGCACCCGCAAGGTTTTAGCCCGAACCCGACTGCTCCCGCTTATATTAAGAATTTATTGTCCCGCTGCCCGACCCGCCCCGCCCCGTTTTCTGCCCGCAGCGCCCGATCCCGCTAAAGAGCGGGGGAGAACAAAACCAAAAATCCCCCAGCTATACAGTCCAGACAGCCAAGCTGTCTGTATAAACACACACACACACACACACACACACACACACACACACACACACACAGCACCAAGCACACACACACAGACAAATCTCTCTCTCTCTCATACGCGCGCACTAACACACACACAAGCACCAAGCAGACACACAGGCGTTTGCTGTTATATCAACTCAAAGGCTTGTAATACCATGTATCAAGTACCAATGTAATACCAAAAGGTTTTATATAAAGGTATATAAATACTGAGTCGCGCCAGCTCCGGGCCGCAGCGCACATTACTCTCGGGCCGATTCCAGCGCGGATGCGGCACCGTCGGCTCGCTTACGGAATCGGGCAGTGAGTCCACAAGCATCCGGAGTCCGGCAGCCGGAGCCGGGCTGAGTGGTAAGTCTCTGGCAGGCGAGAATCTAGCCGGAACTGGCCCGAGTGTATTTTGCTATCTGGGAAAGCTCTCTCTCTCTCTCTCTCTCTCATTCACGCGCGCGCGCACTAACATACACACACACACAAGCACCAAGCACACACACAGGCAAAGCTCTCTCTCTCTCTCTCTCTCTCTCATTCGCATAGCAATATCCGCGATATTGCTAGACAGCCCGCTCCCGTCCCAAATTAAACCCGTTACTGACCGCTCCCGCGATTTATTCGGAAATTTATTCCCACGCTGCAGAAATCTGGTCGGGTCCTGCGGCGCCCGCGGGAAAGCCGCGGGAATGCAGACCTCTACTGTCATCTTCACGGTATATATATTTATAAAATGAATCTGATAACATAGCTGCCTCCTTTCATTAAAGTATGAAACATACCCTGTCTCTTTTGCTGAATATCAATTTTAACAATCAATAATAGCCATTATAAAAATAGAATGTACAATAAATTTATACAATATAGAAAATAAAGGCAAGCAAACAGTCAAATAGGCCTATTAACTTATCTTTGCGCTCAGCCAAAACATGTTACCTGAGAACAATAATAGGGTCAAAAGACCAAAGAGTCGTTTGATGAATTAAGATAAGATAAATTAAATATCACGTTTAACAACTATACTAAGACGAAATCCAGCAGAAGATCCTTAGTGAACTGTCCGACATGCGCTGCTCTCATCTCGGGGGTTGCCTGCAAAACCCCCATTGACTTCCTCAAGCTCAGATGCGCGCATATGCTGTAGCACATGCCAGAGTTTGTGTGTGGTCACGTGATGTGCATTTTCAGCGGTGTAGTGTGGACAGAGAGCTGTTCAGAAATGCTGGGTGAAACACCAGTGTGGACTTGGACCATTTTAAAACTAAAGCGTATTAGTATGCACAGAACCTTATTCTTATTAAATATTATTAACAAGGACTATCACTTCGCAACGTTTTACATGAGCAGTAATTCATTTCATTAATAATATGTGCAAGTAAAAACAGAAGAATACTGCGGGCTCAGGAGAGCTCCAGTCACAGCCAATTCACCTGTGCTATTTAGAGCAAAAGTCCAAGAGAAATCAAATGTGCGTTTAAGGGCAACTTCATTACCATGCATATTCATAGTGACTTATTTTATTTTATTTGTTTGACATACAACTATTTGTAAATCTGAATGTGCTCAGTAAAATGTAAATAATGAATTGCCTTTAAAATTGCCCAAATTATGTTTGTAGCAATGTATATTACTAAACAAAATTTTAGTTTTAACATATTTACACTGAAAAAAATGATTCATTGGATTTACTTAATTTTTTTAAGGCAAGCTGTTGCAAATAATTGAATTGGGTTAAGTTTAAGCAAACAATTTTAGTTGGATTTACTCAATTTATATGTGTTGGATTTAAACAATCAAATTAGGTTGGATTAACTCAATTTATATGTGTTGGATTTAAACAATCAAATTAGGTTGGATTAACTCAATTTATATGTGTTGGATTTAAACAATCAAATTAGGTTGGATTAACTCAATTTATATGTGTTGGATTTAAACAATCAAATTAGGTTGGATTAACTCAATTTATATGTGTTGGATTTAAACAATCAAAATAAGTTGGATTTAATCAATTATATTTAGTTACATTTATCCAATGAAATTTATTAGTTCACTATAATTTAATTATGTTATTCCTACTTACATCTATTTATTTTTGATGTCTAAAATGATCATTAAACTGCTTGCAAATACACTTTGAAATGACAATTGACCACATTTTTTTTTTATTAATTTTAATGAATTTTTAAGATGCATTTTTTAACAAAACATAAATCATTGCCTATAAATGCTTTAGCAGCACACCATAAAACAATAAACAGTTTGTACAGCACATTTAAATTAAACCAACACATAAAAGAAAACTGTATGAAGTCTTGGAGCAAACTGCAATTCTTATGAAACACACACACACACACACCCCAATACACAAAATAATCAACTAATTAACTTTAAAAAAATTAACTCATTAACAGATTGAGCAACTACAAGTTGTATGAAATGGAATAAATACAAAGTTTATAAAATGCACATGCTCTCATACACACACACATACACACACACACACACCATTTAAAACAAGTTCCTACAGCAAATTAATTTTGCACACAAAGAAAACTTAATTCACTTATTAAACAATTCCTACTCTAAACTGCAATTTGTATATGATATACATATGGTTGTTGAGCATTTATCAACACTTCAATGCTTAAAATTACAGCATCGCACTGTTTTCCAGTATGAGAACCTTTAAGGAGAGCTTGTCAGTTTATTTGCACAAGTACTTTTTGGGCAAACTCGTAATAGTATTTGAGTTCTTTTGGGTAGGCCAAATCAAGCACATAAATTGCCCCCAACATCAGTGCACAGGCTTGTGCAACAGATTTTATCTGTTCAAGAATCACTGTTCCATCCACAACGATGCCAATGTCCTCATAATCTCCTCTTTCCTTTTGATGACACATATGGCCATGGCGGTGTTTGTCAGGTCCTTCAAAAATTCTTCTTTTTGGTTGCCCTATATTTAAATAAAAAGAAACCATTATTAGACATTGTTTTTGAAACATATTTTGTAAAAAGTCAGAAGAAATCAAATGTAAATAAAACCAAAACCTTAACAGCCCTCCCCACACCCACATTGATACCTGTGAAATATTATAACAATCATTTATGATTGCATACTGGCGAACATATATTTGTGCATGATCTGCAAGTACGACTTCTTCACAATTATTTACAGGGTTTATTCAGGTTTTATCAAGGTAAATTTAAGATCTTTTAAGACCAACTAAAAAGAATTTTGGAAAAAATAATTGAAAGGCAAACAATACAGCAATATGATGAAAACTAAATATAATGTCAAGGAAGCATTTTTGCATTATTATTTAAATAATATTACACAAGGTTTAAGGCCTGAAAACCACAGATTTGGCCACTTGAATGTGGAAATAACTTCTGATCATACCCACTGTATATCAATATACCTGGTCATAATCAGAGATGTATAAAGTACTAGAGACCCGTACTTAAGTAAAAGTACAAGTGCTCTATCAAAAAGTGACTTGAGTAGAAGTAGAAGTGCTCTTTAATCACCATACTTAAGTGGAAGTACTAAAGTATTCAACATTTTTAGTACTTAAGTATTGCAAGTAGTTTATTTCAAAATTTACTACTCAAGTACTGAAAGTAAAAGTACAAGTAGTGTAATGTAGTTATTAAAGAAGGCAGTCAAAAGACATATTGTTTTGTTTATTTTAAATTTCTTTGGGGCACTTGATTAAGCAGGATGAAAAGAAACATGGCTTATGATACTGTTTTTCTCTGTAAATAATTTCTATGGTACAAGAACTCACAATGTCAGGCTCTTTTACCAGAAAATCACTTCACTGATGAGATAATTCAGCATGTTCATTCATACTCTCTCTCTCTCTCTCTCTTTTACACACACATACACGCACACACCTAAATGTACACTCTCACACATTCATACACTCTCACACACAGTTCTCTCTCTATCTCTCTCTCACACACACACGCACACACGCACACACACACACACACACACACACACACACACACACACACACACACACATTTTTGTGAATTGTGGGGACATTACATAGGTTACAATTGTTTTTATACTCTACAAACTATACTTTTGAATGCTCTAACCCCAAATCCAATCTCTAAACCCAACCCTTACAGGAAATTATGTGTAGTTTTACTTTCTGAAAGTAAAAAAATATTTAGTGTGATTGAATTTTATACATAATGTACACATAATTCACCATCTCCTCCTAACATCTGTGTAATACCGATGTTGTTATACATATACATGGGCACACACACACACAAACACGAAAATACACTCTTTTACACTCTCATACACTCTCTCTCTCTCACACACACACACACAGACGCACACACAGGTACAATCACACTGTTTCTCTCGTACATGCATTATTCACTCACACACACTCACACTTTGGTAGTTTTGAAGTTTAATTGGTTAATACCACAATAAACAGGAGTTTTGTCTTCTGGAAGCAGTCGTGAAACTAAACTAAACAAGCAAACTAAATCCTGTTGCACTAATTCACTTGATTTTGATTTTATTGTAAAAAAAAAAAGAAAAGAAAAACAGGAAAGTGTGTATTGTACTGTGTTAAAAGAAAATCTAAAATACTTTATGGCTTATGGCTATGGTTTAGTATTAATTTTTTTTAATTTTGATTATGTTTTTAATTCAATTGGTCTGGCACTTCATATGTTCTGTAGTATATTTATTAATTCTGGTACTTTTACCATAAACCAACTTCTTAACCAGTTGGTAGAGGCTGATATTTTAGAAATTATGGGATGTGTTGAGAAAAAAATGCATTGACTGTGTTAAATAGCGACATTATGAGTTAAGAAATGCAATAAAAAAATCTATTGCTTTTGTCTTGGTGTGACAGTTATAGGGTTATTTTTAATACAATTTTGTTCTTTAATACAGCAGTCAGATATATGAACCCTACTCATAATTTGACCTGCTTAAAGAAAGCACTCTTTCTGAATGTATCAAACAAAACTCATGCACAGAAGACAGCATGAGCATTTACAGCTAATAAACTCATGTCAATATTATACCGCCTGCTTTTTGAGCGCTGACAGGCGAGGTCTTATGATGATTGGTTATTATCTTCATCTGCTCAACAGAAAGGGCTTTAGAAATTAAGCGCTGTTCACCCATGGCGGGAAGAATACGCGATTATCACAGGTAATAGACAAAGTGGAGAAAACTTGAACATCAGGCACGCTCGTGTCTGGATGGATCGACAGCTTTAACAGCCAAGAAAAGAGGGAAAGTTACCTTACAAACAGGCCAGTGGGTCAAATGTCCAAAGTGAGAAAGAGAGAGGCAGAGGTGAAGTTTTACAACATTTCTCCCTAATAGTAAATTAGCGGCTCGTGTGCCGCCTTCACTCGCGCCTCCGTCCTCCGCCATAGTATTGCGACATCGCGCATAGGAGATAAATGACGTCATCACGTAATCACCGGTTATGACCTATTATTGAACTGATATCGATCATTTTGACACCCCTAGTAACGAGTAACGATGCAGCACATAAAAAATCTATCGGAGTAAAAGTATTAAACTCATGGAAAATATGTACTTAAGTAAAAGTGGAAGTAGGAGAAAAAAATAATACTCCAGTAAAGTACAGATACTGCCTTTTAGTACTTAAGTACAGTAGTGAAGTAGTTCTACTTCGTTACTATACATCTCTGGTCATAATTGTTCACCTTAACCCTTCTGTATTATTTATATTTACTACCCTTTCCTTATGTTAGTTGCTGTTTTTTTTGCCCCATTGACTTCCATTATAAATTTTTTTGGATGCAAATCCATGACAGCATGTAATCACGCATTGTTGCTGGTTTTCTTCCCTTTTCGGTAAATGTATATTTTGTCATTTTTACTGTTGATGATCAGTTGACAAGCATAACCATTTAGATAGTCCTGTGCAAAAAAGTTTCTGGCTTTTATAAGGAGTTCTTTGGAGTATAAACAGTAAATGATAGTGTGTGTGTGTGTGTGTGTGTGTGTGTGTGTGTGTGTGTGTGTGTGTGTGTGTGTGCATAAATACACTTACTATGTTTACTATATGTCTGAAAAAATGCAAATAAGCAACTCTCAAAACAATGTTTGCAAAAGTCTCACACACACACGTGCACACACACTATACTCCGTAAACCTCTATATAAAAACCAGAAACCTTTGCAATGTTTTGCTCTGCAACTGATGATCAATTATAAAAATTACAAATTTTACCTTTTCCTAACAAGAAAAACCATTAAAGATCGAAAATATTTAATATACTGTCATGACCTTGCAATTAAAGAACATTGTTATAATGGAAGTCAATGAGACAAAATCAGCCCCAAACATAACATAAGAGTAATACATTTGCCCAGAGTGTATTGTTGAGGTTTTTGAAAATTTAAAAGCATTTTCCCAAAATATGAGTAAAAATAACATGTCACCAAAAATCATTTTATGAGCTCAAACAAAGAAATCTGTCCCCAAATGAATATCCTCAACAGCACACAAGGCTTAAGAATAATAGTGCACAAGTAAAAAAAACATCAGCGAATGAAATTCAGTAGAAATGTCACACCTTGATGCAAAATTTAAGACCTCTCAAATTTAAGACTTTTTATGACCTTAAATTTTAAAAATCTAATTTAATACTTAAGACTTTTCAAAGACCCACAGGACCTCTGCAAATAATAAAAAAGTACAATGATAATAAAACAAATTTAATTGGACAAATTAATAGACGTATATTTATTTAATTAGTATTTTTACGTGTCATTAATTAAACCAAAATAATTTAAATAAATTAAGTATATTTTAAATGTATAAGTAAATATACAAATTTAAAACTTGAATTCATACTTTAAAAAAGTGTCATGTTTCATTATTAGATTAAACATTTTCGAAGAATTATTCAGCAATACATTTTTGATTGTTAGTACGGCCACCCATTGACCTAAAAATGTAATTCAAGTCAAGTTGCTTTTAAACAGTAATTTTAATCTTAACATAAACATAAATTCTCTTTTTTGGAAAAAAGTGGTTTACTTGTACTTTTGTGACTATTTGTTTGTAATTTAGAAATAATAATACTGTATAGAACGACTAAAACAGGGGTGTCCAAACTCCTTCTTGGAGGGCCAGTGTTCTGCCGATTTTAGCTCATCCTTGCAGGTGTGTTGAGGCAAGATAGTTTCTAGATCACCTAGTAAGAGCTTGATTAGCTAGCATAGGTGTGTCTAATTGGAATTGGAACTAAACTTAGCAGGACACAGGCCCTCTAGGACCAAGCTTGGACACCCCTGGACTAAACAATGAATATCTCTGGGGTCAAACACAGATCTGAACCCAATGCTGAGAACGTCAAAGGATTAAGAAACATATGCAACTTTTAATCATTTTGTATTTTTAGGCATACTAATATTAGGCACATATATTGCGATTTTCAAAAAGTATTACATCGCTTTGTAAATGTTTATTATTACCATTTGTTGAGTCTCCCAATACTATTTGATATAGTCAAGCAATGTGATGTCACACTCAACAAGCTGATAGTTTTCTCACGGTTCAATAACAGTGTGTATTACCGTTACAATGCGAGAGTTTGAGGCAAAAGATAATAGGTTGCTCTTACGCGTGTAGTGACCAATGGCATTTTTTTTTACTTCATTTACAAATATATGTAAATAAAAAGCATTTGAAAAAAGAAAAAAGCCATTGACATATACAGTGAAAAAACTATTTTCAAATTCTTTAAAATTATTAATTAATTTTGTTTTTGAGATATTAAAATATTTTGTTCATTGTTCTATTCATACTTTTGCATTGAATTAGTATGCAACTTACTTGCACGAATCTAGCAAGTGTTTGTGCAGCGCAATGTGATTTGAATAGACCATAATGTGTTCAACATTAGGTTCACCTATTAATTCAAATATGGCACTCAAAAAAGTTTCCGTTTGTCTCATTGGCCACTGTAACCCCACCCTCAGCCTCTGAACAAAGCAGTTCTTTCTTATAGCCCAGGTGCAAGCACTAGTACTATGATGCACTCACCATGTATTCTTTCACCAGGCATGCCTCATCCTCACCAAGGTAAGTAAAGAGAGCTTGAAGAATAGACGCTCTTTTGAGATGGACATCGGTTGTCTGTAAATAATACAAATTTGATTAGTTAAATACATAAATGATAAATTGGAAACATTAAGAAATGTATTAGATTAGATTAAACTTTGTCATTACACATGTACAAGTACAATGCAACGAAAATCAGTTTAGGTCTAACCAGCAGTGCAATAGCAGCAAGTGCAGTATACAGGTATAAGTTATAAAGTGCAGATATAGAAAAACTTTAGTGATATTTACAGATGGACGTACTATCAACATTATATACATGTTGTATTAGCTATGAACAGAGATTTAAAATAAATTATTATATGTACAGGTTGCTATTAATAATCAGAAGTGTACAGATAGATAAACAATTACAAGTGTACAGTATACAGTATGTACAGTTCAAATGAATGAATCAGTCTAATGTAGTGCAATGAATGTGTAATTTTTAAATGTGCAAATGTTAAATAGTGCAATGATAATGAGGAGTATAAGTTCTGAGGACAGTTGGGGTGTATTAGGAGGGCAAAATAATTAGTGGGGGATAGAGTTGAAAAAGGGACAGCTCTGAGGAAAGTGCTGTTCCTTAAGGCTGATTTATACTTCTGCATCAAACGCACGCGTATGCTACGGCGCTGACGCATAGCTCTTCGCCGTGGCCGTCGCTGACGTGCACCTCTCAAAAAATGTAACTACACATCGCAATGACGCGTAGCGCAAGCTCTGTGATTGGTCGACTTGGTAGTGGCCAACTGGACAGATAATGTATCTCCTCCCTGTAGGCCGTCTCATCATTATTGCTGATTAGACCAATCACAGTGGTGCCATCTGCAAATTTGATGATGTTGGATCTATTCACAGGCCTACAGTTGATAGTAAAAAAAGAAGTAGAGGAAGAGGCTCAGCACACAGCCCTGTGGTACACCAGGGTTAAGTGTGACGATGGTGGAGCAGATGTGGCCTGATCTAACATTCTGAGGTCTTTTAGTCCGAAAGTCTATAATCCAGTTGCAGAGAGAAGAGTCGATATCCAGGTCTCTAAGTGTAATCATTAACTAATGCAGAGTTCAGACTGCATGATTTTGAAAGTAGTCGTGTCATAGATGTTTTCACACTGCGTGACTATCTGGGCTAGCGTTTTGTTGCTGCTTTATTTTCACTGCAAGATGGATCGGCGACAGGGACTTGAACATTGCATGACTTTACAATAGGAAGAATCGCCGACAACTTCGTCTAAACTACATCTCACAACCCAAAAACCATCTGTTTGACCAGGCTGTGGATTAATGCTAATATTGCAAATAATGTTAAATTTCTTACACAGACCAATTGTTTTACTTTACAGGACCTTCATCAGGAGCTATGGCTTTAGATTTGGACTTTATTCTTAAACTGAAAAACCCATCCCCATTCGCTGCCATTATTTGAATCACCATGTACCACAGATTCAGCTAAAAATCATCAGTAGTGTTATATTAACATTAAGTTAAATAAATATTAATTTATTTTCTTCTCGGCTTAATCCCTTTATTAATCTGGGGTCGCCACAGTGAAATGAACCGCCAACTTATCCAGCATGTTTTACACAGCGGATGCCCTTCCAGCTGCAACCCATCACTGGGAAACATCCATACACTTTCATTTACACACATAGACTACGACAATTTAACTTACCCAATTGCCCTATAGCGCATGTCTTTGGACTTGTGGGGGAAACCGGAGCACCCGGAGGAAACCCATGCGAACGCGGGGAGAACATGCAGACTCCACACAGAAATGCCAACTGATCCAGTCGAGAATCGAACTAGCGACCTTCTTGCTGTGAGGTGAGAGCGCTACCCACAGCGCCACCTGTTAAATAAATATATATTTAAAAAAAAAAAAGAATTAATAACTGAAACCAGCTCAAATGTTATCGATTATTTATGTCATATGCCATGTCCCGAATAAAACACGTTACCGTAATGCACAATTGTTAGTCATTTGAGACTCCTTTATTACAGCACTCCCACAAGTTTCTCTCTTGCTTTCACAAATAAAATTATACATATTTAATGTATATCCATTAATAATAGCCTATCTAAGTTTTGCCCAGCTAGCGAAACCTGCAGGTAAAGGTAGCCTATAAGCATATTTTTTTCAGTGCATGCATTGATTGCATTGTCTAATACATAGAATATAAGTATGTTTGTGGCATGATAAGCATGGACATGAGCATTATTCAGAACATAGCCTATATATTTATTTTTAAAATGTTATATTTATTTAGAAATTAAAACTATATTAATTTTCAACTTGCAGTAATAATCTAAACATTAAACTTTGTCTCGATGTTGTGCATTTATTATCTTTTAACACACCTAAATCTGACGATTGTCCCTTACATGTATATTACATTTATAATGATACTCAAATTTATTTAATCAACTGACTGTTTACTTGTGAATAGTTTGTTTAGTTACACTATATTTAAAGTGATTTCTTTTTTCGACTACCTTGTAATTTGACATGTTCAGCCAAAATAAAGACATGTAAAGGCTGATTTATACTTCTGCGTCAAATGCACGTGTATGGTCCGACGCAGCCTGCGTGCAGTCGAATAGCCCTTGCCGTGGCGCATCTCTCCAAAAATGTAACTACACATCGCAACAACACGTAGCGCACGCCCTATTAGTGGGCTTGGTAGCGCTTACGCGTGTGGGCGGGGTTGAGAGCCACGCCAACCCATTGGAGCGAGTGTTTACAAGTGTAGAGTCCCATGAAATAGCTCGAGGTGGAAACTGTTGCTTTGTGTTTACCTTATGATTAAAGTTGTTGCATGACCGCCGGCTCCCGCCTCAGAATGAGCGAGTTTTATTTTCTTGTTCATTAAGGTAGTGTTCAGAAAAAACAAAACCCAAGCGAAGAAACTCCATACAGAGGGAACATATAAACCTACTGCTTTTGTAAGTGTTATTGTAGAACAACACAAACAGCGCGCACAAGTATAAGTGCTCAGCTGCACGCAGGGCAGGCGCCGTAGGTCACGCCAATCACTCAACGCAGAAGTACAAACCAGGCTTAAGGCCGAATGTGCATTGTGCAATTTTGAGCCAAATTCTGATGCAACTCTTCTTTGAATCAAATTAAATTTCAACTTCAATATTTGCTGTGCTGTGTTGTGTTGATGCAATGTACAAGAGGAACAAAGAGGTGAATAACCTCTCTTGGTCGGCAATCAGATAGTCAAATCATTTTATGTCAGGTCAGACATTTTGGTCGGCCCTATTGAGAGAATCACGGAGTTGAATCAAAGTTGTGCTCTTACTGCACCCTAGTACCGTGAAAACTAGGGAAGCAACAATAACATTTACTTATTCTTCAATTGTCACAAACCTGTTTGAGTTTCTTTGTTCTGATAAACACAACATAAGATCATTTGAAAAATGATGAAAACCGGTAACCATTGACTTCCATAATATGTTTTTCCTACTATGAATGTCAATGATTACAGGTTTCTAACACTCTTCAAAATATTTTATCTTGTGTTCAACAGATAAAAAAAAACTCAAAGGTTTGGGACCATGGAAACATGGTGAGTGAATAGTGAGTAAATTTCCTTTTTTGGGACTATTTAGATTTTTCAGAGCAACATATTCAGTTAAGAAACTGTTTACTGTAATGTGCAGTGATAAATGTTTTGCAGTTACTTACCATAAAAAGTTGATGGAAAATTCCAACTGCAGTACTGGACAGAAAATGTGTTTAAACCCCTGACCAAGGAACTCAGCAAAGGAAACTTGTTGTACAGTACCTCAAATGAAAGGAAGCACATGATTATCATTTAGGTTCAAAATTCAGCACAAGTAACAACATGACCAACTTCTTAATCAACATATTGTTTACCGATTAATTATATTAGGCAACATTTTGATAAATTACTTATTGAACAAATTGCTGAACGTGATTAATATGATTAGTTAGGGTTATTTTTTTATACCAACACCAATAAGGTTAGCAAGAACTTTTTCTTCAGTTCAACATTAAATATTTTAGCTGAATTTTCTTTAATGTTTTACTGAAGAAAGAAAGTCTGTGGGTGAGTAAACTAACGTTAATGGGGAATTTTTGGGTTTACCCCTTCAAAGTCAGATTTTTTTTTTAAATCAGTGATCGTCACTGCCTGATTGATACGATATAAAGTGGGTCTCAGACCAGACAAAGCACTGCATTAAATTCCATTCTTCAACGCTATGTCTTGAAAATATGTACATTTATTTTAACCACAGTATTTTCCATGAAGTTCTAGCACTCGTCTGCATGTGTTTTACGTTTGAACAACTAAAGGAATGCTTCAGCTTATCTAAATGATATTATTTTAATTAAATTACATTATCATTGATGTAAAAGGCACTTTATGAAAATGGAAAAAGTCACATTAAGTTAACCTTGCGCTGGACGTTTATCGGTGGCTGACAAACACTTGCTGTGAATCTAAGTTAGCCCATTAACAGCATTATAACCCCAAAGACATAATTACAGCATCTCACGTAAAAAAATACAGAACTGTATAAATGGACGCCCTTTACGTTAAAAGTTAATGTTACGCCAGTATGGGCACACATTCGGCAACCTCCTAAGACAGTCAGTAGTGCCCTAACGCCAGACCAAATCGTTCTAAAACAAAATCAGAATGGTACTGTCCGTTCACAACTATCTAAACGCATGTTTAATGTTAACCATAGTAAAAGCCACGGTAAATTCACAAAGGACTGAGCTAACGTTAACGTTAGCAACGAAACTTTTTTCGTTTGGAATGGCGGATCACGGACACCGTCGTCACATCAAAGAAAATGCTTATTCTCTTGAAAATAGCCATTTACATCATTAAAAACATTATATATCAAGTCTACATAACTACATTCTTGCTAAAAAGAATCTTAAATATATTCTGCGACATAAAAGCGAGATTTGTCAAACCGTGTGTAACGTTAACTGTTAGCTTAACTTGCGAGCGCGCTCGACGGCTGGTCGCTGTGAAATTTAAAAACGACCAAAATAGACAGTCCGAACGAGAGACCATTTTATGCGTCTATGTTACCCACAAAGTTTTTTCTGTAATAAACAGTCTGGTACAATATAAAATGTGACTTACTGTGCAAATGGATGTACAGAAATCCGGCTCTGGCGTCTTGCTTCCATCTGACTGGATTCTGTAAAACTTCCTTTGGCTTTGGCGCCGAGGCAACGGAACATAACGCGCATGCGCACAAAGCTAACATAATTTTTTCTAATAGAATTTAATTAATTAATTTAGATTGGTTCAAAACACATCTAATTCACTTAAATCCTATTAAAAATAATTTAATAAAATCAACAACTAAATTAAATTGTTTAAAATAAACTAAATTGAATTATGTTTAATTTAATAGAGGCCTAAATCATTTTTTTCAGTGTACAGTTGGTGACGCAGTGACGCAGTAGGTAGTGCTGTCGCCTCACAGAAAGAAGGTCGCTGGGTCGCTGGTTCGAGCCTCGGCTTAGTTGGCGTTTCTGTGTGGAGTTTGCATGTTCTCCCTGCATTCGTGTGGGTTTCCTCCGGGCGCTCGGTTTCCCCCACAGTCCAAAGACATGCGGTACAGGTGAATTGGGTAAGCTAAATTGTCCATAGTGTATGAGTGTGTGTGTATGTGTGTGTGGATGTTTCCCAAAGATGGGTTGCAGCTGGAAGGGCATCCGCTGCATAAAAACTTGCTGGATAAGTTGGCGGTTCATTCCGCTGTAGTGACCCCGGATTAAAAAGGGACTAAGCCGACAAGAAAATGAATGAATGAATATTTACAGTTGGAAATTCACAAATTATTTTCATGGAATATGATTTTTTACTTAAGTCTAATAATTTTTTACATAAAACCTCAAAACATTTTGCAATTCTGACTGTGCCTCACACAGGTGAGTGGGCTTGACAAACCACCTGTAGAAAACACACTCTTTAATTTCTGGAAATTTTCCAGACCCTTGCACCAGTTTGCTCATTTGCACCAGACTCTTTCTTACAATCACTCAATATCGCCTAACTAACACATAGTACATTTCTGAGTGTGCTCCACAGAGGTGAGTGGGCTTGACAAACCACTAATAAGACTGCAAGACTATAAGTTTTGTTGTCCAGGGTCACATATATTATATTATATTATATTATATTATATTATATTATATTATATTATATTATATTATATTATATTATATTGAAATATATTATATTGAAATATATTATATTATATTATATTATATTATATTATATTGAATTATATTATATTATATTATATTATATTATATTATATTATATTATATTATATTATATTATATTATATTATATTATATTATATTATATTATATATCCATATGATATGATCCATAACCTGATGCTTTTTCTGCAGACTGCTTTACTGTTGCATGTCATGCATCCACAGTGTAACTGAAGCATTTGCTGTTTAAAAATCATGTTTTGTAAAAGGAAAATATTAGTGCAAATAATTATTTAGCTCTAGTTTGGGGCATGCAAGTCTTCATGGATTATTACATGTTTACTATTTCTGTCACCAGATTATATTGCACTTTTTAGTACAAAGTGCCATGGCTGTGACTTCCCTGTTGAAGCAGGAGACAAATTTATCGAAGCTCTTGGCCACACATGGCACGATACCTGCTTTGTTTGTGCGGTAGGTTCAAAAATAAGTTCTCTCCTATGGTTTATAAATCCTTCCATAAACACTGTCCTCAGCTACATATTTCTGTCTGCACATACAGGTCTGCCACGTCAACCTGGAAGGACAACCGTTCTACTCCAAGAAGGACAAGCCTTTATGCAAGAAGCATGCACATGCCATCAATGTGTAGTTGCTTCAAAAGCACAACTAAATCTGTCAGAGAAGTTGCTAAATGCAATTGATTTAACATTTGCATTCGCGTTTTTTTGGCGAGACATCAGTGCCAATTAAAATGAGAGTGAAAGTCATATAAAAATAAATACAGTATATAATTGGTTAAACAGCATATTAGTATGTGGATGAATGGATGATACATAAAGTAAGTGTTGTGACATTTTTAATCGAAATCCAATACAGTGCTGCAGTTGGTGATGTCAGAACCCTGAAGACTAATTCATCTTTGAGATTGGCGGTGAATTATGGGGCTTTCAAGTCATGAGGAAAAACAGATTGTTGGTAAACATAAGTTACTACCTAATATCAACATTGTCGCTCATTTCGCAGCAGCATGAAGCCGTTTAAACCACACACTAGAGTGTTCTTGTAATACTATACCACTTAAAGATTTATGATAACAAGTAGTATGATAATACATGCAGTATTGTGTTGATACATAATTCAAATTTCTAGAAATCTATAGATGTAAATGAGACTGAATGTCTGCAGAATACTTTATATAGTATTTTTTAACGTGTTGTTTGTACCAGCATCTGATTAATAAAGCTTAAAGAATGCTCATATATAATATCATAAATATTTATATAGATAATAAAATATAATAATTACAATCGTAGATTAAAAAAATAAACAAATGCAGAAATAAAAAATGCTGGAAAAAAGAAATATGCTTGCTTTTAAATGGGAAAATAAAACCCTTAGTTGGTGGCAAGTCTAAATGATTTAGTCACTGAATTGTTCATTCAAATGATTCATTCAAAACTGTTGTTTCATTCAGGAATGAACCAATTGAATGAATGAATTAATGAATTAAACGACTGATTTATTGTGTTATTGACTCACTGGAATTATTTGACTATACAAGACACTGCTGTATATGTTGTTTAGTGAAAAACAACAGCTCTGCTTGTTTTCATTTGCAAAATAGAGCGAAAACAATGTTGTGTCTAAAATGGCGTTTTATATATTACTTTGCTTTTTGAGCAGTTGTTTAAAATCATATAGATATATACATTAGATGTCGCCTTCCCTGCTGTCTATTAGAAGGAATGCGTCAATAGAGCCACCATTTTAGTACAGGGTAGCGCTCCTTTGAAATGAATGCAGGACCAAGGTGCAGTGGAGGACTGTGGACATTCAAAGCAAGAGATATACACATATATCTATGATCAGGAGTTTTGCCGGTGGTCAGTGTGTAGACATTTTTTTCAATTACGAAAAATTATAATTTTACATCACTTTTCTACATGGATGGATGTGACCGCACGGCATTGCCGACAAAGAGTATGTGTTTGTGTGCATGGAAATGCATCATCCTGTTTAATTTGATCTAATCCATGTCCTGAAACACACCCCCTCTCCTGCTTTCACTTCTAATTCTGACAGAGGGAGCGATTCGTTTGTGAATGAATCTCCGTTAAGAATGACTCGTTCACTTAGCTGACTATAACACAAATTTCTGGCTCCGCAGCATCTTGTTGTTATATTTCATAACATTGATTGCTTATTTTATTTAAAAAAACTAGCATAAGCCTGGTATTTAGTGTGAGTTGGTGCTACTTTGCCTTATGGTGAATGCAGTAGATGACTGTATTATCATCAATAACATTACTAGTTTAGCACAAAAGTTCATAACATACAAAAACATAAAAAAAGAAATCTTACCTATGAAATGGTCTGCCTTTGTGCTTTGTTTTCTTTGTTTGCTTGTTACTACATCCGTACACCGCGCGAAAGTCCAGCATCTTCACGTAGTAACACTGGCTTGACTAGTGCAGTTGATTGACTTTTGTCCTAGGAGCACTGTACAAATGTGGTGGCACTATTGACACATGCTCGGGGTCTTTATGTGATATCTAGTGTATATATCTATGGGATAAAATGAGTTATATTTGCATTTGCGCTGATATTCATGCTGATAAAAATGATTCATTTTTAGCCCATTTCTTGAATTTATAAAACTCTGACTGGATAGTGCATGTACTAAAGTATACGTTTCACATACAATAACAGGAGAACAATGACTTACAAAATGAACTGAAATCAGATGTGCTAAGTCATGATTTGCTACAAAAATATTTATTTAAAAAAGAAAAAAACTTAGAGGCATCCCCAGTATTTTTAAACTTCCTTACTACAATACAATACTTTATAAAATTTTACCTCACATAACATAACAAATTTTGCTAATGAATTTGTCTCTCATGTTAGAAAAAGTGTAATATGTGAGATTTGGTGCTCGTGCCTGTTTCTATTGTGGAAAGTGACAGTTTATTCTTCCGGGATTTGACATCTTGACTGCAGCATTCTGTATTTTAGAGTGTTATTATTATATCCCTGATTACACTGACATACATGCACCCGTTTGCCTGACATAATCTAACATGTAACACTATTTTTTCTTGTGCATTTATACAACATATTATGATATTAAAGACTGAGAGATTTAAAGGAGAAATGAATAAGTTATACATGAATGTTGGAGATTATCTGAATAAAACCTATGCATTTTATTAAGCCTTAAACTCTATAGTACACCTAAATGTGTTTTAATTGCATTACTATATGTTTTCTGAACAATAATGAGGCCTGTTGATCCCTGAATTGGAAATCAATCACAAAAAGTTGTTAAATGAATGGAGAACATATGTTGATGTAGTCTTTTTGGTGCTGAATGTGTGTTTTATGTGTAACTATTTTGTCTTTTTTGTTTCAAGTTTTTTTAACTTTTTTTTTTTTTGAGTGAAACCAAGTGAGCTAATCCACGATGTTAGCATTAGCATTGTCAATGTTTTCATAACTTTTTCATAACAATTTTAAGAATAGGTTACACAGAATGTGTTTCCCTCACAAATCAGCCATTAATGTTGTGCATTGTCACATATGTTTTTTTGTTTTGTTATTTATTTTGTGAAAACCTCAGTATTTACAAAATCTTTGCAAATACTGTTCTGAATTTGCATCGATAATTTATTTGTTTTTCTTTGCCAGGAATGAGGGGTTATTTTCATTGAATTGAATAAATCATTAAAAGACAGACCCACATACCCCAAGCATTGAAGTTGCATATTTATTACAGTTCTTAAAATTAATAACAAACACGTCGCCTGAGACTTTGTTCTCTTTTTTTGTGGATACAAGTTACACAACTTTTACATGAAACCTTAAGGTTACACTACAGTACTACAGTAATGCAAACATGGACCATTTGCAGTGCATTTTTTCATTTATTAGTCTTTGTTAATGTTATTAAAAATTGTATTTTTGTTCACTCTTTATTAACTAAAAAAGAAAGCTCTCTGGATGTTAATAACACTATTATAAATGTTGAACATACGCATAAACTAAAATTAGTAAATGCTGTAAAAGGATGTCATTTTTAGTGCATGTTGATTAATGCACACTACCTG